ATGGGTGATCCTTCCAGGAACCGGGGTCCAGATGTGTATGTTTTTGAAATCCGGTTCCTGACTACTAGGAGCAAGGACGCTATTAGGGGCTCCTGGCATCGCTACTAGGAGCAAGAAGCTACTAGGAACAAAGGGCATCGCTACGAACGGAGCAAGGACGCTAGTAGGGGCGCTCCTGGCCTTACTACTAGGAGCGATCGGACGCTACTAGTAGCGTCCCTGCTCCGTTCGTAGCGATGCCAGGAGCCCCTGATAGCATCGCTACGAACGGGGCTCATCGCAACTCCGAGCGCCGGGGCCCGGACCTGCCCGGATTTCCACAGGACGCAGGTCTTAGTGCCATCCATCGTGGAGATGGTGGGCTCCGTCGCTGCGCCAGGGAGTCTCAGCGTTTCACTCGCATCCGGTCGGTGGGAGTTCGGGTGGAAATCACAGAGTTTAGATTGCTTTATACCCAACCCCATGTCCTCTATAGAATGGCTAGCAAGACACCCTCACCCATATGGTGATGGGTATATTGCTTTACATTCTGTTCAGGGAGAATCTGTTTTCGTGGTAAATCCCTTTAGATTGGCCTTTTTGGGTGGGCGATTTCGGCGATTTCACCCCACAAGATCCGGGAAACTCCCGATACAGGGAGGTTCTTCCTGAAAGGCCAAACTCAGCTGGCAAGACATTCTCTCCTTGGAAAAACACACAAAAAAGGAAAAACATGTTTTTTAATGATCCCACACTCGGACTTGGTTTCATTAGTGGTGTGCGCTGGGCAAGGGAAAAATATTGATAGGTCTACAGAACTGTTTGTTCATATATATAATATATTTGTGTAGCAGTCAGTCAGTCAGTATCTATAAGTGTGGCCTGACATGGACCAATTGTCCATTGTCCATGACTGGTATTGTTTGGTATAGCATTTGAGTAAGTATGACTCAGCTTTTGGGCAGGCACTTTCAAGGTTCACTCGAACTTGCTCATTCTCCTCGTTGCTCGCGGAATTTTAGAAAGCCGCGGAGTCTCCCAAGACTAGCCACGGATTCTCCCCATCGCCATCCAGTGTGGACGTGTGGATGCTCAGGTCAGACGAAGAGTTCGAGCCATTGTTAGGTTGGGATTCCCAGAAATGATGTTATTGGTGTTGGTCGAGACCACCTGGCTTCGGACAGATCTTAACAGCAATGTGAACCAGAGAATAGAAGCACCAATGCCAAATAATGCCAATATTGTTAATGTTATTTTTTTGTTTAATGTGTCCCGGATGTTTTAGCATCAACAACTTGCACGTTATTGCATGTATTAGGTTAATTGAAGGTTCGTACTGACAATTCCAAGCACACCAAAGCACAGTTCATTGTGCGTCTCACATGACTGATGAATTGAAGACTAGACTGGGTCAGTGCATGTCAGTACCACTTCACTTCACTCCATTGTCTCAAGAGCGCAAATACCACTGGATCGTTACCTCTTCACTCCTTGGTATCATGCGCCATGTCTTCAATGTCTTCATGTTGGTTAATCTCACTGCGTTCTGCGAGGGGTTTTTTCTGCAAGGAAGGGTTCAGATGAGTCCAGCGGCTCAGTGACACGCTCAGTGGTTGGGTTGGTCCAAAGGACTCGGGAGGACTTACAACATCATCGTCGACCATCAAAGGTGATGATGGGATGATAGTTCTGTCCCACCCGTATAAACGGAAGTGCAAGTCGTGAGTATTGAGTTCTCCTGCAATTCGCGATCTCAAAGATCTGGGTCATGATTTGTTCAACTCATTTGCCATGGGGTCAAAGACCAGAAAAGACGCATGGTCGTTAAATGGTACGAAGAGGAACTTCTTTCATTTCAATGAGTCGAAATTGGCGGTCTCAGCTGATCGTAGGCAGTGCCTCCGCATTGAGGATGCTGGAGGAGTCCTCGCTCGCCTGTTGAATCAGACGGGGAAATGCGTGGCAAGTGCAGTCGCAGTCGTGGGTGACATCACATCAGGCCGTATTTTTTGGGGGGACCATGCTAGACATATCAATAGAGAACCTTAAACTCCTCATATCTGCCATACATACAGTTCACGACAGTTCATCATATTTCGTTCCATCTATTTCATAAACTCTTCATATTTCGCTCCATTTCATGATATTTTCTTATACAAATTTTTGTTACCACGTTTTGCCTCAGGAGATCTCGACCTTGCCTGACGGAGATTCCCATGCCCCGTCGCCGCGCGAGTTTGCCGCGTCCAGTGCTGCTAAGGCCCCGTCATGTGCGGAGTGAGTGGGGGGTTCTGGAGTTGGTCCTCGTCATGGGATTGGGGTTGAAAATGATTGAACATGAACAGAATAGACTACTTCATTCAGTCATCAGTGTGTCGTGAATGGCTCCATGTCTCACATGGACTTGTCGAGGTGAACAGAATAGACTAATAGACATGGGTCAACCTACCTGAGGGTTTGGAGCTCCGCGTTTTGACCCACAGCCGACTGAATGGACCACCACAAACTACTGCAAGGGTCGTTCGCAGTGGCCCTTCGGATTCGCGCCTTTCACGGGAGCTTCTCGATGAAACAGTCAATGGAAGAACTGTTCGTGGCAGCCCGGTCCTTCAGAACATGTGCGTCCTGACATGGCGTCCTTCTTCGCTTCGGCCGGGCCTGTTGAGGCTTGCGTCCTTAGCATCACGCAAATCAAATTGAAACCACGATCCGGGCGATCCGGTGGAGAGATGTGACAAGCGAAGATGTGACAAGGCTATTTGTGGTTTGGTCTTTGGGGACAAACCGTTTGGCAGTCCATGTCGGCAGCTTGGCAACGAGTCTGCGAATGTCGGCAACGAAGGCGAAAGCAGAACTACACGCCGGGTCCAACGGGTTCCCTGGAAGTCCCTATTGTAGAAAAGGGTCTTTGGGTGACACGAAGAGGAAGTTCCTGGCTCGTCTTGAGTGGTCCAACGCTTCTTCCAGGCTGCCCCGGGCGTGCTTGGTCAGAGGCCTCAGGGCCTCAAAGGGTTGTGCAGATAAGTGATGAGTACTAGTACCAGAAGTGTTTTTTTCCCGTGCACAAGGACTCTCATACTGTAGTGGCCATGAGTCGTATACACATATATATATAATATAATATATATATATGAGCATCAGAGAATGGAGCTCTTCAAGACAAAACGAGTTTCTTATCTTATGCTGCGCTGCGGAGCACATGCATCTTCTGCTTCCGTTCTTGCTTGAGCAAGGCCATTACCTTGGTTCATCCTTTAGCAATGGAGGACTATTTTCCTTTACCAAGAGGGGGTTGTCCACTTCCATGATGCCAGAACAGGGCGTTCGCCCTCCCTTGAAAGAGGCCCCACGCAAACTCGGCGCACGGACCGAGAACTCGCCAAGGCATGTTGGGAAAGAAGGCCGCACTGGTGGTGACTTGAGAACTTCTGGGCTGGTGCCTCAGGACGTCCATGCGACCTCATCGGCCGACCTCAGCGGCGAAATGCGCTCACGAGCGCTGTGTCACGAATTCAATCAAACCGTCGATGTATACGTGGGTTACGTATGGGTTCTGCATTGCTATGTCGGGAGTATACCTGATTTCCCACTTACATCCTTATACCGACTTATGGCATTTGCTGTGCGACGTCCTTGCCACAGTTTCCTTGTCCAGATTATCAACCCAAGGGTCAGCTCCCAGAACCGTCGTGCTGATGTGACCGAACCGCGCTCCGATCATTGGAGGCAGATCCATTTAGCATGATTTGGAACTCCAACGGGTGGGGTCCCCACCGCTTCTCAGAGGGTTTGTTGATGGGGGCCCAGGGTATCAAGACGCGTTCTCCCAGAACTACGAGCTTCTGTGGAATAGTTGCTTACATGAACCTACCCAGTCAGTGCATAACCTTTAACTCACTTCTTTTGACATTAGATCCAGAGTGGTCGGTGTCGGATTGCGTCTTTCACGCGAGAGATTTGAACAGATGGACACAGCTGAACCTTGTTTTTCACTGGTCCGGATGCTTTGGTGTTGATGTTCCAACCTTTGCCTCCTTCCACACCCACCCACCAACAAGCACCGAACCAGGGACAAGGCAAATGAAAGTTGAAAGATGCCAGACACTCCACTCCATGGGACTCCACTCCATGCATGCATTGGCCTCTCAAACCACCATCCTAGACACCGACACTCCAGTCCACGGGACTGAATATATGTGCAAATATAGCAGACAAACCACCCCTGTCAATTGACCATTGTATTGACAGTATATATATAATATATATCCATTGAGAATGTTTGCAAAATATGTGAATATATGCCTGCATTTGACCATTCAAACTCAGACCACCCCTGTTTGTATGCAAATGGAGGTAGTCCCATGCAAGGAGTCACCAACACCAGGCCGATCGATCACCAGGTGATGCTGCTGGCACTCGAGCGGTTTGGGGGGGGCGGGGCCGCTGTACAGCCGCGCAACATTTGACAACGAAAGACTGCGATGTGTCGCGCCGGCGGGTGGAATTGAACCAAGAACGTCGTTGATAAGTGGTGGTTTGGCTGTGAAGGAAATCAAAGAAGTCTGGGTTGACGCATTACCAATTTTACTAAAATTGGCAATTCTCTCCAGCGCAAGTTGGCCATCTAAATGCAAACTCCTTGTAGAAACTTATGCATCAGCTTATTATAGTTATGCACAGAAATGCACAATATCAAAAAAATTACCCTGTTCCAACAATGTCCAGACCTCTCTGTAATGCTCCGAAGTGACCCTGTGTGTCCTGGGGTGATGAAAGAAAGAAGCCCATGTGAAGGGAATCAAGGAGGCTCAACAATCTGTTCCAAAGGGATGTGAATACTAATACACCCTCACTACTCCCGTGAAGATTGAAATGGACCCTGAAAACCACTGGTTGCGACTCTTCCAGGGGGCAGAACCTCACAGTAGATGTGAGTTTTCGGGAGGGTAAGTGGAACTAAACTTCAACTTCCAAAGTTTAGTTTCTCTCAAGGCTCTTGTGCTGTGTTTGACACCTCTCTTGCTCAAGCCTGACCCATTTCGTGACACACCTACTCGACAGCAGGGCATCCCAGGACAGCTGCCACGGGACCGTTGATCGTGCGAACGTGGGGCGAGGTTTGATGGTGAGGTTCGACCCACCCCAAACATCCGGTTGAAACAGGTTCGGGCAGAGCAATATGGAGAATGGTGTTTAAGGTTGTGAATTGATGAATCCATACCTGACAACACTTGCATTCTATATAGTGATTTCTTCATGTCCAAAAGTTTGTAGCTATAAAAAGGCCTGCACGACCCCTCCTGGGGAATGTGAACGGCTATATGAATCCTTTGACACTTCAATTCTGGTGGACGTCATGGATTAACACAAGTGTTGGCCGAAACAGGGTAAAATGCTGATCCTCACAACCGTGTTTTTCAGGATGTTTGGCTCGGTGTAGACACAACTGTCCGTTGTTTGGGTCTACATGACGTGCCATACCACTGTTCGACTGAGATAGAACCACAGACTCAGTTGACCCCAAAGGAGGAAGATCTTCATTTATGTACTGGCATATTGGCATAGATTGGCATATGGCTGTTGGTCCCGGCACCCCGTTTCACTCACCCTGGGTAGCTTGACCTCGCCCTCTGGTCCTGGAGAATCGCAAGAGCCAGTAGCCAGCAGCCCATATCACCTCCATCCTGGTAAGAACGACAGGTTCGTTTGTCCATCCTGTTCAACACTGTTAATTTGGTCAGGGGCAAACCCGGGCGCCATAACCCACGGCCATATTTGGACTCTGGGGTTAGCACTCTTCAGAGGAAACATCGGGTCGTGTTTTTGCCAATGTTTGATTCGCAAACATGCGAAAGAGCTTTCAACGAGGGGACTGGACTTCAGTGACGTGGCGCATGCCGATCATGACTTCAGATCGGAGGGCCTTACTCACATGTCATCCAACAGCCAGTGAGTAGACAGCAGTAGCAGACAGCCGGTCAGACCATCTCAGACCGGGAACGGACCCCTCCCTGCATTCGAAGAAACCATCCATCTGTGGCAGTCTGTCCCAAGCCTTCGGTTGACTGAGCGACTCCCGTCGGCCAGACAGCGTTCCCGTTCCGGGCCGACGAGGGCCAACGAGATCGTCAGGTGAAGAACATGGCTGTGAGTGGCACCGTGACCTCTTACAACCCTCATAAGGCGAGCAAGTGTGTTTGGAGAGGATCTCATGATCTGGAGCATGGTGGAGCGAGACCGAGTCTTGTTTTTGTTTGTTTTTCAATCCGCAGGTGGGTGGAGTTTGAATTGATGTATCAATGATAGACCCTTTCCCAGACTTCTTGTTCAATTGCCACGGGGCCGTTTGAAACCTCTCGGGGGCGGAACGAGGGCGGAGCAGTTCCACCTGCAAAACGTCGTTGACCACCCGGAGCCCGAACATCGGTAGGTCGACCTCCGTAGTATTCTTCGGTGGGACCAAAGCCGGTTTTCGGTGCCATGACCGGTCGGCTGGCGACGAGCATGCAAATGTATACAGGAAGTGGGTAGTGTGAGTACAGTGGGACACACATCTCTGGGGTTGGGTGGGGCGACTTGTTTGGTTCAACTTGGAAAACTTTTAGGGGATTGCAACATGTTGCAAGACTTATGAGTTATGAGGCCTTCACGCACGAAAACCCTTCTACCAGGTTGCGTCGCGATTGATCCTGAAAGACCTTTTCTAAAAGTCAATTTCGCGACAGCGCCGTAGAGCTGCACGCACGTGGAGCTGCGAGGAGCGCCGGCTTTTTCGCAGTGTCTTCAATTGGGCTTATTTGGCGCTCCAAAGTGTTCAAAAAAGAACCGGACCGTTTTTGAACGTTTTCCGGTACAGTTTGGTACATGTGTCAGGCGAAAACATGCCTCACAGGGTTCTTGTTCCACGCCGGTTCTTTCCGGTGTGGCTTGTTTACCGCCGTGTGGTGGTGGATTCCTGCAGGGCTGGGGCTTCATTGAGTGCAATGGCAAAGATGTCTTCGTGAACAGGCGCGGAGTCCGGCTCTGCTCAAACGGTTCCGTGTCAGCTTGGGTCAGCTTGGGTCAGCTTGAGTCAGCTGGCTAGCCTGGCGTCCGCCTCTGAAGGAGATGGGTTCCACCTGTGTGTTTGGAGACACCCAATGGATGTATCTACATAAGCACTGCATGGAACATTGTAAAATAGGCCTTTTACTATCAAAAAGCTGACTCAGACAGTTGCACAAGTTGAATAAGTTCTTGGAAGTCATTGTCCTGAATTGGTCTGAAAACCTCGCAATCTTGCTGGTATCCCGGGTTTGGGCTTTGGAAAAACCTGACGAGACTCTCCAAAGACGGGGAGACTCAGGCCCAAAAGTTTCTGTTATATCCCCTCTAGTTATACCGTCCATAGAGCCTACATGAGCCTACTGCTTCATATTTATAGAGGAGATCCTTCTTTTGGAGACAACCCCACATACATCTTAATATATATATATAAGTTTGATTTCTCTAAGAGCGTGGAAGTAACGAAGTTACTACTCCATGCGACTTTGGCAGAACAACGTGCTGTAAAAGATCTAAGTTGACAATCACAATCTGGATCAATCTGCTTGGGTCAACATACCCTAGGATCTAGGGATAAAAAAGAAACACATTGCCTGGTAGGTAATTGTCACTCATGTTTCAGAGAACCGTCCATCAATTTGGTTCCCACCCAAAACTGCGAGTTTTCACCGCTGAGGCGCGAATGTGGAGGTCACTGCCTGTCCAAGGGAATGAGTGTCTCTTTCACGGTGACACAGGGTGAGAAGGCACCGTTTGTCCGAGAAGGCATGGGTGGAAAGCGGGGTTTCTGTTGAACAAAACAACCAGGTGGAGTAAACCACCCGTGTAACTAGTGCACATGAAGTGACAATCCGTCCATACATGTTTGTGTCATTGTCCAGAATACCATGCTAGAATAGGTGGAAGATGCCTCTTAAACGTGTAAACCATGCTGCTCTTATTATCTCCTACTGCATTTCCCCATCCTCTATCCACTCCGGGATGACCAAGCGTATTCTTGACGGTGCAATTTCGCGCGAATAGACAGGGGGTCCTTGCTTCAGAGAATCCAAGGGCCTATACCTGACACCCAAGAATCGATGTGGCTTAGATCGGTTTGCCGTCCAAAAGCGCCAAGTCGACTTCCTCTCTCCAATGGATGGCTGAAAATGGCCAAGATACGGAGCAAATTCTCCGGAGATGTCTATTGTAGGTCTCAGATTTTGATCAGAGTCTGATAAGTCACTCATAAGTCACTCAGAGACACGACTGGGTCCACAAAAGTTGTATTTTTGCCTGAAACCGACGCCTTGAAACAACAGACGTGGTGCGTGCTCCAGATCTCCCAGCTTCGCAGGGGCAGCAGGCCACAGAAGTCAAGGTCTTGGTGCCTCCCGAAGAGGCTGTCTACCACGGCCCGGGACCGAGTGCACGCTGTTGGACCGTTTGAAACACCCGGTGGTGAGTGCTGAAGGCCTCGACCGGTTTGGGAGCTGGAAGCCACTCACCCCGTTTCGGAAGGAAGCAGTAGGAACCAGGATGGAGCTGATTGAGCTCAATTTCAGGGGTGTGTTCATGACATGTTATATAAGATGATGAACATACCATAACCTACCTTCTTTTGCCTTTCGGAGAGGCTAGGCTTTCAGGTCGCAAAGCCTAGCCCTCTTTTCCCATGGCTGAGACCGGACGAGACATGGCCAACTGCTGGCACATCCCGCCGCCGCCATCGGCACCTGGCGCGTCCAAGGTGAAGTGAAATCCTTCAATCCCAACAAGGGCTATGGTTTCATTGGATGTGACGTGCCTTGGCAGTCATGCTCATCGATGTTCAGATGAGCAACAAAAAAAGCACCAACCGACTGTAAGTGGAACTGATTGAAGCCTGGAGTGGTCAGTCGTCATCGTTGAGCAGGAACAATCAAACGACCTGTCAACAGGACCGAAACGCTTTGGAATCTTTGTTGAGTATGTTTATGCGCTTGCGCCATCCCTCACATCGAGATCATACATTTCTGGTTAGGAAGGGGTGGAGTTTGGCTCAAGACTATCAAGCTATCGGAGGATGTGGCTCAAGACTTCAGTGATCAACGCACTTGGTGGTTCAGCGCTGTTGTAGTCGAGGATTGAGCAAGGCCCGGCTCAGTCCCTAGCAGCATCAGGCCATAGTTGGCCCTCTCCAACTTGGTGCACTTCTGACCGAGGTTGACCCCTTGGAACTGGTTTTGCAATCAGTTGCCACCACTGAGGGCAAATATGCTTGTGACGGTTGATGCTATGATGGTCCCTTTCAACTGAATCAAAAAATGCCAAAACCAGAGAGCCCAAAACCATAATGTGTCCAGTCAAACGTGTAGCAAGTGCTCCTGGTCGCTCGTTTTTGGGCGGTTGGTTTGGACACTTGCAGGGGGGGAAGCGGGCCAACCCAAGGCAATTGAAACCCAAGGCAAACGCTCAGAAATACTGAGAAAAACTGCTCACAAACCGATGTTTTCTGTTTCGATCCTCTTGTTCCTTCAGGGAGAATCACCCCAATTCTACCCCCCACCCCAGGCGCCCTTTATTTTGTGCACCTTTGTGGCTTTCTCCTCTTTCCAGGCTTTCCCAGGACAAGATGTTTTCGTGCTGAAGAGCGAGATCCCAGGTGGCTTTGCACCTCAGGGAGGCGTGGGATCTCGGGATCTCGGTCGGAAGGGGGAGTGAAACGACGGAACGACTGACGCGGACATCACGGCACTTCAGCGGACAAGAAACGGGAGGTCGACTTTGGTATCCAACGAAAGTCGGTTGGGCAGTTGGGCAAGAGGAAACGTCCCTGGTGTTGAAATCCAGTATCCAACTCTGCTTTCAAGCAACAAACACAGGCTTCTCAAACTTGAACTACTGTACCACTTGCTCAGAAGCTCTTCGGCTGCTTGATTCCCGGTTTGATCAGTCGGAGGGATTCATTGGACAACCAACTCTTCACAGCTGACCCTTTGAACAAACATGGAACTTAGCATTGAGGAAGCTGTCAGCCATCAAGCCGATCAGAGCCCTTTTATCACACCCATACATACCCATACCCAGTTGTTGGATGTTGTTGGAAAACTTGCACCTTTCTCAGAGATTTGTTTGTTTACTTGGTTATTATATATATATAAGTATGCATGGACACTGTTTAACAAATGTCGTCTGATGTTTTCCTCAAGAAACGGGTCCTTTACCCATGATTGGCTTCACTGCAGGATTGGCTTTGCCTTAGCTAAAATCAGTCTCTTCTATTTCAAGGTTGCAACCTGCAGTGGCCCCGAAGTCACGGACCACGCCTCTTACATCAATGTGACTTCCAAAGGCTACGGCGGCCACGGCGGCCACGGCCAGGTCACTGCAAGTTCAAGGTGAAGCAGGAGAGCGAGAAAGGCCCAGACTGGCCAGACGAGTCGACGAGGAAGATCTCGCGTCAAGTTATTTGTTTCGGTGCTGGACATGGCATGAACTCCAGGACTCCAGGAAGACCTGTGTCGTTTGCTCAAAGGGGTCCGATCGTGTTTGGCAAAGAGCTGAAGATCAATTGGGAGAGAGTGGAAGAAGTTACCAATGGATTGATCAATGATCAGAATCACTCTCCTCATCAATCGAATTCCCTCAACCAAGAACTCCAAGAACTGAGAATTATTTTGAGCTACAGTTCGAACTTCTGATTGCTACCGGCACTTTAAGGCATTGATCCCTGGGACTCCACTCCCTCTACTCCGTTTGCTTCTTCGGGATGTGACAGGTGACAGGAGGGTTCAAGGTGATTGGATCCACAGAGGGTGGGTTTGTCCTATTCCCTGTAACAGGCAGGAAAAGCAAGCTAATACCTATTTAACGAGGCCTGCAACCTAACCATCGTCATCCATTCAAACCTGGTACTGTAATAGGATAGACCCAAAGCTATAGAGGCTTAAAAAACAATTGCAAGGCCCACAACTCCCTGATGGGCAAACTATGCCCAAGTGAAGTCCGTTCCCTATGTGTTCCGGATAGTTCACACATGTCCATACCACCCCCAGTCGAATCCTTGACTTAGATGAATAATTAGACACTGTATGAAAAGGGCAATATTCGTGAGGTTGAAATTTGATGAAATTTGTACAGAGTTGTCTTCGGGTGTCCTTCTCTACACGTTTTAAATAGGGGATGATTTCAATCCCCTCCTCACCTCTCTATACCTCTCTCAATTTTGTTCGATTTTGTTGCTCTTACCGGAGAGTCGTATAACATCATATAAATCTCGTGTATACTATATATAGATATATACAGTAATACCCGTTGTAGTCCCACTATATTATAGTAATACCCGTTGTATACTAGTAGTCCTGAAACCAAAAACGTCTCCCTTCGCCACGCGGCCACGGAGGTCCCGCAGCCACGGAGGTGCAGCTCTTGGGCGCGGCCGGAAACCAGTGACCTCAGGGAGAAGCAACGAACGCGTGTTTGAGATCCACATGGAACCTGAACCTGCGCACGGAAGAGAATGTTCCTCTAGGGACCTTCGCAGGTTCCATTTGTTCATCTTCCAGGGCGTTCTTGCGGGCCGTGCGTTAACCAAAGCAATGCATGTCATTCGTCAGAATGCGTGCGAGGCGTCCCACCAGCACCCGAGTGTTGTTTTCAACATGTAGAGACTCCAATCCAGCCGTGATCGCGTTGCACCCAACAGATTCTACAAGTACTTTCACTTGTGACTATGAGAAGGAACCGTTTGAAGCTCACATTTGCTGTTGCACATCTATGGTATGTTTGACCTGCCGTTCGGGTGTTTTGGGTCGCAAAAAGAGCGCTCCGCTTCAAGCAGTTCAACCTCACTTCTGGCCTCCGTGCAGTGAGTTCCTATAAGTCTATAGGTGCCATTTGGCTCACAACCAACCGATTTGTCTCAGTCCTTCGTTGGACAGACAGATCACCTTTGCTTGAACCTTCCAAGCTTGTCTTGGTTTCCCAGGTACCAGCAGATGAAACAAATGGCGTTTTACAGTGGCTTCAAGGGCTTCGGCAAGGCCAAGGTGGGACAACTGCCTGCTGCTGGTTTAGCCGGCAAGTCGACCAACCGAAACATTGCCGCGAGTGTCTAATCATCCTGGAGTAGATTCTGTTCAATTTACCAAAGGTTCAACCGTTCAACCCCGCGTAGATAGAATATACTGTATCATACTGTATCTTGTCAAGGAAATGACTGAGGGTGCAAGAGCAGCAATTATGGACCCGGTAATGACAATATCAACCATGTTCGCTTCAGAGACAAGCACTTTGGGACTGCTAACTCAGTTGATTTTCTTCGCTAGAACTGGCAGATTCTCAATCTGGGAGCGCTGCAAAGACAAGATGTCTGGCTCAATGTGATTTCATTGGCGCTCAACAAGGAATAAGAAGAAGACATCAACATGGTGCTCATCTGGCTTCTCATGGCACGTATGCTTCGCCTGCCAGCGTACAAAAAGAATTGCAGAGATCCTGGTCATGGCCTGTTTGTCAATTTGTGAACCTGGTCGAACCCAGTCGATGTCGCAACCGATGGGCCCGAAACCGATGCTTCCGATTGGCCGCATCAACGACGGCGAACGCTTTGACCCAGGAACTGGTTAGAGTCAGTTAGAGTTGGCTGGAGCTTCACCGCAGATCATGAAGACGAACCGGCTCATCTACCAGATTGGCACCTCGAAAGAGTGAATTCGGATCGCCGGCTCGTGGTACAGCTTTTCACTCAGGAAGAACAGTTCTACGCATTGCTGGACTAGGCTGCCCTCCTACCAGCCTCAGATCAAAGATGATCAAAGGATTTGCGCGAGTCACAATTGGACGAGTACATCACCCTCCTGCTTAACCAGCGTTGCCGCTTGCATGGTTTTGGCCCCCTTTTGGCCGCGGGGCTTCATGTGGATTCACTCGTTTGGTTGGCTGCGCGCCCAGACGGGCCAACATGCTCCGAGTGTTATGTGCCCCACCCACGTGTGCTTCGCGCCATTTCGCGCCCCTTCCGAAGCACAGGCAAGTGGAAACTTCTATATGCAAGATCAGGTTGCTTTGCTTGAGTGATTTTTGGACCTGCACCGCTGTGCAGTGGACAGACACTCAGGGTCTCCCGAATTCGGGATCTTTGGTGGAAGAAACGCGTCCATGTTTGCACCCTTTCTGCCAACAGTGGGCGCTTCTAAGCGCCAATCTTTCTGGGTGCTGCGAAGTCACCGAGCGGCTTTTCGAGCGGCTAGATGTTCGAGCGATAGGGCGCCACGCTTGGCTGTACGTGCCATGTCTTCAGCCCACGCTTGGGAACTTTTCTGGGAGAGGCAAGCTAGTCAGTGTAGGTGATCATCGCGTTTGAGGATTTGGATTGCGAGAATGTATACAGCAACTCTAAGATGATTGTTTAAGTTGGAACCAGGCAAGCTATCAAATTCTTGCTGCACCCCCAATCAGTGACCATTGGACTCGTGCACCTTTTATGGAAGACCTGGTCTAGTTGTTGCACTTCAAACAGGTGTTTGCAGTCACAAGAGATCCCGGGCGACTGTTTCAAAGAGCATGCTCTAGCAGACACCTATACTTGCTACTCTTGTCTTGCCTCTTCTGAAGAGGAGGTGCGGCTGCCAGGCATCTTGCGTACGCATCACAGGGTCCCAGTAAACTCGCTGAGGTGAACATTGGCAGTGGCATGGGACTTGCATTCTGCACAGAAAACATGGCTCCCACATGGCTTCCCCATAAAGACATATCCCAAAACACAACACGAAAGGCCTTTGAAATCATTCTACCAGAACCATCCTGTTTGGGTGTCCTGGATGGACATCAATGGACTAATCACACTGCACTGTACTTAGAGATGTCCAGCCAGGATGAGCCAGGTCCAGGATGGTATATCGGTGTTTCTTGGGTCTGTCCGAACTTGCCTGTATCACTATTTTTTCAACAAGGCCTGCAACCTCACCACCATCATGAAACCTGAAACCTGAGGTTTCAGGATAGACGAACAAGGTATATCACATCGTTTAGCATTCTTTAGCTAGTTGGGCGTGGGTCAAAACCCGGAGCTCCAAACCAGGGTAGGTTGACCTCCCAAGTAGCTTATTCTGTTCATTCTTGGGGGTCAAAGGCTCCAAAAGTCCGGGGAGCGCGCTCGCCGCTGCCCTTCAGGGCTTCTTTAAGGGCAAAGGCCCACGTGTGGATCCTTCGCACAAGGCACCGGGCCGGGCCGGGCGTTTGTGGAACTCTTTCTTGGGGAGACGAAGGCTTCTTAGGAATTTTGGGTTTGAACCTGTTCATGTGTGTTTTATTTTTCTGGGGGGGTTGTGGTGCATGTTAAACAAAGACTGAGCGGAAGATTCACAAGTAAGTACCTCACCGATAGCAAGAAATGTAAATGGATGTGGAAGATTAGAGGAAATATGAGTGTGGGTGAGACCTTCTGGACCGTCCACCCGCAAACAAATCATGGCGTTATAGACAGTTTTTTTTTCCAAGGTGTTTGCATTTGCAAAGCGCAACTGTTTTATCCTCATTCGTAGGTATAAGTCAGAAGACATGCCCAAAATGTATCAACATATCCACCGCAGAAGGTCTATTGCTTGTGTTTGTTTCTATATGTCACCCTCCATGTTGTGTCAACCATTGATACCCCCTCTCTCCAGTAGTCCAAGGGGTTGGCTATGGAAAATCACGTTTGTCCTTTTTGCCCACGAGAAAGACACATGATGTCACCCTAGTTTCTTGATGTGTTTGGCCACACCCCAGACATCAGAACATCCCACGAATCCATCTCCAAGAATTCCCTACCAAATCTGCAGGTCTGGATCGGCGGCATTGCGCAGCTTGGCCGTTTCGGTATGTCGTGAGATGGACACCTCCTGCAAGTGAACGAGGAAGCAACACGATCACGCTGATAACGCTGATGTTGGGTTTCGTCGCTGGTTTTTTTGGTCTCAACGGTTGATGAACCAAATCCACAGCACTGATGCCCTGTGGATCCACATGCCTTCTGAGAAGGCGAGCAGGGAGACTATCGATGTATGCGATGTATGCGCCAGGATGGACCAGTCGTATGTTCGTTTCGTTTCGGTTTGTGGATCCCTAGGGATTGAAATCTTCATCACGGAGCCAAAACCAGGATTCGGACAAGACGGGAAAACGACCTGGTGGCAAACGCCTGGGGAATACGTTCAGGTGTGTCACCTGTTCCAAGTGCTTGGCGAAACGCCGAAAGTGGACGACGAAAACCAAAAGGCCAACACACGGCCTGGCGGGAGTAGTAGCGCCGGCATTGCGCAATTAAAGGTTGGTGTATGAATGTATATGATATTTCTACGCCGACTCGCTCATCTTCCTGCAAGTGGATGGCACATGGGAAGCCGGGAAGACCATTTCCTCACAAACAAAGGGTTGTCGAAATTGATGTGATGTGCTCGTCGAACTCTACACGCTTCAAAGCACAACCAACCAAGAGTGCATTGGGTGCAGCATCCCCACCATTCTAAAGAGGATGCATATAACAATATATAGCATATAAAAGTTGAATGGGCAGGTGTAGACAAAAGGCACATGCCTACACCACATGTGTGTCAGTATGATGTCCAATCTCCTCATCACCCCAAATGTTTGTATGAAGCATGTGCAAATGTCACGCGTTCCACACGAATGCTCAGGCCCGGAACGAGTTGGAAAGATGCTGGTCGAAGATTAGTGCGATTCCGGGTGGGGGCTTGGAGACCATCTTTGGATCAAATTCCATCCTTGAGGGCTTTTTGCAGGTGCAAAGCCATAAACGTTCCGGGAAGGCCAGGATTGGGGGGATTGCTCGCTTAGGGTCTCAGCAGCACTCCTTTGGAATGTTTGGTACCATTTGACATTCGATGTGTTGTCCATGAATTTCTAGCAGTTTTGGGGTTGTATAATAGTCAGGCAGCAGAAGGATTTGGGATGCAGGGCCAATCAGCATTCTACGAAAATGTGCGGTTTGGGCATCTACGACTTGAGCAGGTTGAGACTGAGGCCCAAGTGGCCCATAGACTTCTCATCAAAGACCACGTTGGCAGGTTCTCTTTCGTTTAGTTAGTTTAGTTCTATTTTGGCTCTAAACAAGGCATTGAACAAAACAGATATTAATGATATTCAGTTGAAATCGATCTAATTTGCATAGATGCGGACGATCTCAGAGTATCGTTAGGTCCATGGATTTGACTGACACCCCCGAACCTAGGACTAGGATTGTTCTTACACCAGCGACATGCGAGCCAAAATCAAATGCACCTTTTCTCCGAGGTGATCAAAGGTGTTGGTGCATTAGGATAAAACATCATAGCACAAGAGAATCACATGCAGCGAGATTGGATCTTGGGATATCCTTCGATACACATGACTATTTATTTGTTTGTTCAATCATACTTGTAATTATATCAATATATATATATATTAATATATAATATTACTAATATGTTTTAATATTGTACTCACTGTACATGTCATGCACACGGAGGTCTACACACCGGTCCATTCACTCCCCATCACGCCGGCACGACCTCAGGATCTGCAGGACACCGGGGGAGCTCAAGGGAGCTCGGGAGCTTTGCAACGTGCGACGAGGGATGAGAAGTCCTTCAACTGAGCCACTGAAGTCCATCAAGTCTGGCAAAAAGACTTGATGCCATCAATTTGCCTGTCACACGTCCGTTCATGCCAATGGAATCCTGTAGTCCATCCCGACAGATCAGCGGATCCTTGTCCGATCCGGACACTGAACGGTGAACGGCCCGGCCCGGAAGTCCACCGGTCCGTCGAAGCGGTTCGACGGACGGACTCCCAGCCGACGTTGGTGGTAGTAGCTGGATCCATAGATTTGGGTAGGGCGGGTTGTCTAAGCCAATTGTACCCAATTGTAGGTTGACATCCCACCAGTGGCCTAACCCAATTGTACCCAATTGTAGGTTGACATCCCACCAGTGGCCTAACCCAATTGTACCCAATTGTAGGTTGACATCCCACCAGTGGCCTCTTTTGCTCATGTAGTGTGTGTGTTGACAGGTCCCGATTCAGGGCCCGATTCTGTGGAGTTTAGAGCTTTCGAGCAAGAGGAATTCATGTCCAGCTCAAAGTATTAAGTGATGACTGTGGCACACTGGACACTCAGGGTGCTTCGACCAGAGCGAAGCTGTCACCGGGTCTGTTTCAGACCCTCCACTCCACGAAAAACTTGCTGACGATGACGAACACATCACATGGAAGTGGCCTCACCCCCTCAGAAAAACGACCCACATGGACTGATGTCCGTGTAGAAACCCGTGCTTCACCGTGCTCTGACATCCATGCGCACATCCTCCGCACGGATTCGTCTGCGGGCTCCAGGAGCACATGAACCAGGCCGGCAAGGCCAAATGGGTCGAAGTCTTCGAGGCGCCACCAGAGTCCGGGTGACTACAGCGGTGACGTCTGAGTGATGTGGTTCTTTTCTTCCCGTGGTCCAATAGGAGTAAATCAACGGTTAACAGTAGATGGAGCATATTATTCAGATGGACCATGGTGCAAGTATCCGGAAGACATTCAGTTTGCGCTGCCTTTTGGTTCACTGCAAGCCAGAAAGGAAGAACAAGTTCCTGAATAGGACTACCAGTTGGTGTACATACTGTGTATACATATTACATATAGTATATGAATTCAATCTTCAAAGAATGGGCTCAATAGAAGGGGAAGGATGGCGATGACCGATCCATCAACTTGCTTAAATCATTCTACTTGAAGTGTCATACCGTAGATCAAAGGCATTTCCGTTTCTCCGCAAAACTTTGCCAAGTCTTGGATGGGTTTTCTACTTAGCTCCTTACAACTCTCCATTCAACACAAGCTGATCGTCAGTTACTCTTAAAGCCACCCCCGGTCCGCCGTACCCCGGTCCGCCGCGCGCGCGTGAGGGCAAAGGCGCGGGCACCGGCACTGCAGCCTACGGCTCCACAGAGGAGGTGGCGCAGGCCATCAACATGCTGAATGGGTGGGGAATCCCAGTGCTGGGAGCGACATGGAAGATGTGCGAACAAAAGGAGGATCAGGATTTTGCAGATCCATATATATGGTTATGGTTTGTGTTCCGGATTGTGGTGTTCTACTTGTGCTATTAAGCGGAACCATTTCACACTCGTACCCTCCACTAACCCAGGTTGTGGTTTCTAGTTACAAGAGTTCTGCCGCAAGTAAGGATTGGAGAGACCCCGGTTGAGTGGTCGTTGAAGGGTGTCCTTGTTTGTGCAGGAGCCTTTAAAAAACCAGCTCCAGGACCATTTGCAGCAGTAGAGTTCAATGGCTAAGCTCCAAATGTGGGTATCTACGTCCGTGACGCCCAGGGTCGATGTCGGTGACGCTCAGGACCCCACTCGGCGGATCGCAAATCACGGTGGATGCCTGGGTGAAAGCGCCCAAGGAGCCGAGCCGAGCCGCGCGTCGCGCGACGGGACTCGGACTCGACGCAAAGGGCTGGAGTTACTGCGAAGAAGTTGAGAGATACAAGGACCCCATCAAGTTGAAGGACCCGACCATTCGACTATCTGACTATCCCAGAATCCTGTCCAGGGGTCCTATTGACGGTCACCAGTACCACTCGTGCAAAAGGGTGTTGGCCATTTTTGGAAATCCAGGAGACCCCAATGGTTCCAATGGCATGTGTCGGAATGTTTTTAAATTTTAAGTCATTGTTTCGAACCGGGTTCTGAAAGCCGGGTGTCGGTCTCCCAAGGAAAAGCCATACCCAAATAGGCAGAGTCCATTGGTTAAGCCTTGGGAAAGGTGCTCAAAAAGTCTGGCGTACTCAAACCAGGTGGTTTCAGGATGTGTTCATGGAGGTGCCTGATTTGCAATGGAGCGATTGTTGATATTTGGGTTCAACTCGGTGTGGAAGATAGACATGGAACATCATGGAACCTGAAAACCACTGGTTTGTGGAGGAAGCTAGTCTTCCAAAGGTCCATTTTCAGGTTCCATGTTAATTTTGCCGGGTGAAATTAGGCGTAATTAAGTTGTTGGAAGAACCCAGACAATTCCATGCTGGACAATCCTCATCCATAGAGAATCAGGTGCTTGGATGAAATCATCTAGGGGCGTAGTCTGGCGTAGTTGCTGCTTCTTCTGCGACCATACGCGACCATCCTTAGTTCGCTAGGTTTAGTGGGAGATTGATACAGGTGAGCTTGACCAAAAAAGCCTCCCAAGTGCTGTCACTCGCACATTGGCTCCCTCAGTCAACACAACTGAAGGTGAAGTAGACAACTGGTCACGCTTTATCAGTTGTAGTTGTAGGATAGGTTGACGATGAGCAAACCTAGATGCGGCCAAGAAATGTCATCAACATGATGTTCAATCAGTTTCACACTGGAAAGCTTTCTGGTGGCACAGGACCTAGCCTGCTCTTAATATGCTGGATGTCCACCCGCTTGGTTCACTGGAGGGACTCCCATAGAAAAGGAGTGATCTAATTGGTACTTAGACAATCTTAGACACTGTATAGCTGTATTCTCATGCGGGTCAGGTTTTCCTTATGGGTTGTGAATGGAGCTTGGGGCCCTGCCAGCTTGTCAGGAGGACGCTCCAGCTGCGTAGACAGTTTACTGAGCGAAGTGAGGGGAAGGTGACGGAGGGCTGTGCACTGAAGTCTCTTGAGAGGCGAAAGAAAGACGGCGAATGAAATGGAATGTCATTGATTCCAGCTAGCCTTTTTGTTTCGCAGCTTGGCTGGTCTCACAGCCATGCAAGATCCTTATGACATTCAAGATAAAGCCTTTATCATTATCCATTGAATTGCTTTGTAGAGGGACACCGTCAAAGGAATTGGATCCTTCTGAGGGTGTATCTTAGTGGTGGAGGTGTAACACTGGTGCGTTTTGGGTGGCCATCCATCTCTGACTTTGTCATGGCCGTCTATTGGCTCGTCGGAATGTGTGTTTCTCAACTGTCATTAGTCATTTGTGGACTCATTTGGACTCGGATTGTATCCAGCCTGTTTGATGGGTGTTTTAGCTCAATTCAATTGAACAAGTGAAACCAGGGGAGCTCAAAGCTGTGATCAAGGCAGTGCACAGCCATGGCCCAACATGGCCCTGTGAATATTATCTAGACAGATGGAGCAAAGCTCGTTCCTCAACGCGACGAGGACTCGAGCGACCAAACGTTTAAAAGCTCCGGAGTTTGAGGGTCTTCCCTCATGTGCAATGACTCGCAGGGATTTTGTGAATCGCTGAGTTGGGAACCACCATGCCACAGGTTTTGATGGACAAAACTTCACTGGGAGGCTTGGCGATGTCCTTGCCGTATGTCTGAGCGGCTGCCACAGATCAGGCCACATGGATCCACACTGTACATCAAATCCTTGACACAGAGGTTGCAGGGTCCTTCCATATCCTCAAGGCAGAGTGGAGAATTCGTCCACTCGACCATGAAAGTATTTGAAAAAAGTGGCAGCTGCAAGTGGATTAAAGCTTTCATGGAACTTGCCATCGCAACAGCCGACAAAAGTGGCCGGCCTCGCGATTCGATGTGTGAAGCACCGGTGGCCCGGATCTGTTCAGTGCTGGGTGGGGGGCAATATAAATTCACTTACTGGAAAGCCTTTGGATGAGTTACCTCCGGATTTACAGGTTCTCTTCTGACATTGGTGGTCGGAGAGTTGCCAGGCTTGTACTTGTATCATTCGGGATACCTATCAAAAAAAAATAATTCCTATCAAAAAGAAAATTGATTCCTATCAAAAAAAACATTAATTCGTATCAAAAATAAAATTCCCCCTACTCCTTTGGTCCTGGTCTGCTGGTTCCCTGGTCGCTTGGTCCTTGGGTCCTTTTGTCCTGGTCCCTTGGTCCCCTGGTCCCTTGGTCCCTCTGGTCCCTTGGTCCTCTGGTCCCTTGGTCCTCTGGTCCCTTGGTCCTCTGGTCCCTTGGTCCTCTGGTCCTTTGGTCCTTCGTCCTGGTCTTCGGGTCCTTGGGTCCTTCGTCCTGGTCTTCGGGTCCTTGGGTCTGTACTTTCGAGGCAAGACGCGTTAAAGGTGATTTGGAAATCTGGTCATACATCCTGTGAAGCACTGTAGCAGACCTTTTATCGCCAGACGTAGCACACCTTTTTTGTGAGCCACCCTGACGGTAAAATTTAGACGAAGAAAGTGCCATTCCAAGGTAGCAAACCTTTTGTGAGCCACCTGAGGGCAACATTTTGAAGAGGAAGGAGCCATTCCAACGTTGCAGACCTTTTGTTAGCCTTGCGAGGTTGAAACTTAGAGGAAGTTGCCATTACAACGTAGCAGGCCTTTGTTTTGTGAGCAACCCGAGGGTAGAACTTGCTATTCCAACGTAGCAGACCTTTTGTGAGCCATGCGAGGGCAAAATTTACAGGAGCAGACCTGTTGTCAGCATCAACTTTAGAGGCCATTCCAACATAGCAGACCTTTTGTGAGCCATCCACAGGTCTTGTGGTTTTGTGAGCCATCGTGAAATTCAGACAGATCACGGTTGAGATGCAGAGAGATCTACATCTACAAAGATCCAGAGGCCTGGAGATCCAGACGGATCTGCAGGTGTAGAGGTCTAGAAGCCCACAGACCTAAAGATGGAGGTTTAGAGGTCTTGAGTCTTGAGATCCAGGGAGGTGTTGAAATCTAAGTTCTATACTTGCAGAGGGTGTAGAAAGATGTTCAGATCCAGAGATATCAAGAGCTCTTTTCACAGGTCTTCAGATCCACAGAATTTTACAAACGCCACGCAAACTGCACTACAAGGTTCGCAATCGCTGCGCTTGCCACGAAGTCTGCGCTTATAGACAGAGGTTCACGCAATTTGCACTTTGAGGTTCACGAAGTGCTGCGCCTGCCATGAAATCTGCAGTTCCAGCGCACAAAGTGCTGCGCCTGCCACAAGCCCTGCAACTGAAGGTGCTCAAAGTGCTGCGTACAAAGTGCCGCTCCTGCCACGAAACCTGCTACAAGGAGGTGCTCAAAGTGCTGTGCCTGCCACGAAATCTGCACTTCCAATGCACAAAGTGCCGCTCCTGCCACGAAACCTGCTACTGGAGGTGCTCAAAGTGCTGCGCCTGCCACGAAATCTGCAGTTCCAGTGGACAAAGCGCCGCTCCTGCCACGAAATCTGCTACTAGAGGTGATCAAAGTGCTGCGCAGGCCACGAAATCTGCAGTTCCAGTGCACAAAGTGCTGCTCTTGCCACGAAATCTGCCACTGGAGATGCTCAAAGTGCTGCGCGGGCCACGAAATCTGCACATCCAGATTCACATCGCGCAGCGCTGCCAAGGCGGTTTGCAGTGGCAGGCGCAGCTCTTTGTGAGAGATATTTTGTTTTTGTTACAAATTAACTTTCTTTTTGATAGGATATAGAAATTTTATTTTTGATATACATTAACTTTTTTTTTGATAGCCCGGCCGCGTATCATTCTCAGACTTTACCAATGACGAAGCCAAATGGGTCGAGCCAAACTTTGCAGCTTTTGGTGTGTGTCTCAACTCGCCTTAGGTCTTTCGGTCTTTTTCTGCACTTGTTTGTATATGAGCTTTCTATTTCACCACTCCCTTTTTAGGACCGCCAATCCGCAGACCCGCCTCTCACAACGTTTGAAACGGCCGCACCTGCGCATTCATTGGCTCGTTTCCTGACCATGAGGTGGCTCGTGAATGACCGTTTTGCATGTCATGCCAGTGCCAGCCACGGCAGGTAGAGCAGGCAGAGCAGGTCATTGCCTCACTTCACATCGGACGGCTGTGGTCTTTTCTCGTGGTAAGCCATTGAGTCAGAAGCCTTCAGCCATGTCCTTGAGCGGAACTGTGACCTCCTACAACCCCCACAAGGCGTGGGCTGTTGGGGTTCGGACACATGGGTCGAAATGAGAAAACCACCTGAAATAGAATAAACAAAAGTGAAAGCAGACCTGAAAGCCACTGGTTTGTGGGGAAGTAGCCAACCGTCTTCAAAGTCCATTACATTTTGGATTCCATGATATGTTCTATGTTGGTTCTTGCAAGTGCAGCAACTGGAACAATCCAAAGCAGAACGAACTGGTCTGTTGAATTGAAAAGGTTTTGCAATATTTTGCATATGTTTTGTTTTTTTTTTTTCTGGTGAAAGGCGAAAGGGGTTTGCGTTTTGGGCCAGACATGTCCTGTGTTTGCGAACCCTTCAGGAACTGTTCAGCAAACGTATTGCCCACCCTTCATTGGACCTGCCTACTAGAGTCGCATTGAACCAGCCTACAAACCGTGTGTCCAACTGGCGGAGCATACTTCGTTGGCCCAACCGACCTCGTTTGTCGCGCGCAGCAAACCATGGGGAGAAAAGAAGTCTATGTCGATGTTTCTGATGGTAGTACATCCCCAGACCCATGTAGTTTAAGATATCCAGATGATGGGATGACGTTTCTTGACACGATCGAACCCTATCGATTACTACCGCGGCCTATCGATATGGGGCGCGGTCCTACTCTGCGATTCGGACCACATCGAAGCCCACAACCACCTTGGGTTGGCATTCGGAACGTCCACACCACCGCTCCATGCCATTTTCCGTCCGTCCGTTTGCAAGAGGGTATATTTGTCGTTCGTGGCATTGGACGGTGTCCAACCCTGCTAGCCTGGTCACAGAATGCCAGAGAAAAAGGAACTCAAGACCTCTGAAATGAGGGTAGGTATGGGTAGGTTGTTGCATAGACCGACTCTTAGACCTGGCTGACTCAAGAGCTTTTTGGTTTTGGAATCGACTTGAGGCCTCCGCCTCACTGGTGTGGATCACATGTCCATCGAAAAATGGGCCACATCGCAGTGCCAGGGCTGGGGTTTTAAGATGTTTACGTCGAGTGGATGTTGAAACCCCTTCCTTCCGGTGGCGAAGGTTGCGTCATCCGGGGGGGAAGATTGGACAAAACCCCAGTCAACATGAAGTGGAAAAGGTGTTTTTTCACCTGTAGTTTCCCAGAAAGAAACTGAGGGAGTTCACCTGAAAGACATTCTTGGATTTCAACTGAGCTCGAGCCTGCGTTTCAGATCGGGCTGAAACGCACACGCGCGCGTTGAAGCCTTGGCAAAATCCTCCCACCTTGCTGTTCAGAGTTCTGCGAAGGGCACACTGGCACACGCAGTGGACAGGTAGCTGATTTGGCGTTTCTTTTGGGTCAAATTTTTGTTGGGTTGCTGACAAAAAAGCACATTCAAGCATCTTCCCAGCCACGCTGCCAGGGCTGGGGATTTATTGAGTGCAATGGCAAGGACGTCTTCTTGAACAGGCAGCGCGCGCCATTTTTGGCGCGCTTTCCGTGTGGTTTCCGTGCTTGCGCACCACCGTGGCGGTTTCGGAACTGGAGCACTTTCATCAGTTTCTATTCACCAGGACCATCCTGTCTGGGTGTCCTGCTGGACTACCCTAGACTACTTAGAGATGTCGTCCAGCCAGGACACCCACACAGGATGATCCAGGCAGAATTCCCTCTTGTTGTCCCTTGAGCCGCACATAGCCGTACCAAATCATTCAAAAACCGAACTTAACAATGGAGCGACACCCATCCTGGGGGTGTCGGAGGGCTTGTAGCGAATCTTCCCACCATCGCTTCACCGTACCGCTTTGCAAAACGCGAGGGTTCAACCACTCCGCAGCTAATGACTTCATCTCTCAATCATTCCAACAAAAGCCCAATTGG